GCAGTCTGTGTTTACTCACAGCCGAGACATCAGTGACGCTGCAGTGAAAGCTAGCTACCTCATTGCTAATGAAATCGCAGTGGCTTCAAAACCATTTAGTGAGGGTGAATTTGTAAAAACATGCATGATGAAGGCAGCGGAGATTGTGTGCCCTGAAAAGCGGCAGGCTTTTGCAAATATCAGCCTGACAAGAAACACAGTTGCAGACAAGATTTCCGATCTTTCAGTGGATTTGGACAGCCAGTTGAAGCAAAAAGTAAAGTCATTTATTGCGTTTTCGGTTGCAATTGATGAAAGCACGGACATTACAGATGTTGCACAACTGGCCATTTTCATCCGCGGAGTTGATGACACATTGACCGTCACCGAGGAGTTCGTGGAGTTGGTGCCGATGACAGATACAACGACAGCAGCTGATATTTTTACCGCACTCGTCGGCGTGCTGGACAGGGTCGGAGTGGACTGGTCCCGCGCTGTCAGCCTGGCTACAGATGGTGCGCCCTCAATGATCGGGAAAAAAGCAGGCGTTGTGACAAAGTTCAGAGAGAAAGTGCAATCTGCAAATGGAGGACGTGATTTTTTGACTTTTCACTGTATTTTGCACCAGGAGGCTTTGTGTTGCAAGTCATTAAATATGGATAACGTCATGAAAGTGGTCATCCAAACTGTTAATTTCATCCGATCCAGAAGCCTGAATCACCGTCAGTTTGACAGCCTTCTCAGAGAGAAAGACCACATCTATGGCCTGCCATACCACACTGAGGTAAGATGGTTAAGCCGAGGTGCTGTGCTGAGGCGTTTCTTTGATTTACGAGAAGAAATTGAACAGTTCATGGAAGAAAAGGGCAAACCAGTGTTAGAATTTCATTCCGCAGAATGGATGCAGGACCTTGCATTTATGGTGGATGTTACAGAGCACCTGAATAACTTGAACAAACAGCTGCAAGGGCGCAACAAAGTTGTCACGCAGTATTATGACAGCATACGTTCTTTCAAGTTGAAGCTGTCATTGTGGGAGACGCAACTTGCCGGTGGTGATGCAGCTCACTTCCCCTGTCTGAAAAATGTGTGCGCGACCCAACATGTGGCAGACATGAAGCGGTTCAAAGATAAAATAACGGGACTGTTACGGGAGTTTGAGCAACGCTTTCAGATTTATGTTTATATGTTTTTATGTTGATGTGCTATTGTTTTTAATTGATTTGATTTGATTTGTATATTTAACCTATTCTTGACTCTGTGGTTCTTGCACTTGTTTGGGGAACAGGATTTCATTATTTTTATCTACATTTCTGCCTGAGAAATGACACCCTGATATAGTTCTGTGATCTGTGATATACTTCTGTGAATCACTGAGGCATTGTGTGTTTGTGTGTTCTTTGTCCTCAGAACTTTCAAATAACTTGAGGTGTTTTATGATTAATAGTGATGTTGTGCTTTTGGACACTGTCCTCAGGCTCCAGCTTTATGTTTATATGTTTTTATGTTGATGTGCTATTGTTTTTAATTGATTTTATTTTATTTGTATATTTAACCTATTCTTGACTCTGTGGTTCTTGCACTTGTTTGGGGAACAGGATTTCATTATTTTTATCTACATTTCTGCCTGAGAAATGACACCCTGATATAGTTCTGTGATCTGTGAAACAGTTCTGTTAATCACTGAGGCATTGTGTGTTTGTGTGTTCTTTGTCCTCAGAACTTTCAAATAACTTGAGGTGTTTTATGATTAATAGTGATGTTGTGCTTTTGGACACTGTCCTCAGGCTCCAGCTTTATGTTTATATGTTTTTATGTTGATGTGCTATTGTTTTTAATTGTTTTTATTTTATTTGTATATTTAACCTATTCTTGACTCTGTGGTTCTTGCACTTGTTTGGGGAACAGGATTTCATTATTTTTATCTACATTTCTGCCTGAGAAATGACACCCTGATGTAGTTCTGTGATCTGTGAAACAGTTCTGTTAATCACTGAGGCATTGTGTGTTTGTGTGTTCTTTTTCTTTAGAATTTTCAAATAAACTTGACGTGTTTTATGATTAAATAGTGATGTTGGGCTTGTACTATTTTGGACACACTGTCCTCAGGCTCCAGCTTTATGTTGTATGTTGATCGTATTAAAACAAAGAAAACAATCTGAAGTTGTTGTTTTTAAGTTATATATACCATGATTTTTCCGGTCCGGCCCACTTGGGAATAGATTTTCCTCCATGTGGCCCCTGAGCTAAAATGAGTTTGACACCCCTGCTCTACCACATGCGAAGTGTAGCCATGCAGCCTATTTTGGCGGTTCACAATATCGGCCGTACGGATGTGGAACGCAAGAAAAGAAAGCCAGCCGTGCTCAACCAGGTCCAGTCAGTGGAGGACCTATACCCGGTCGAAGACTACAACCCTCTGTCCCAAGAGCCCACAGTGGAGGATCTTCAGTGGCTAAGGAACCGTCTCCTGGGCAGGTTCAATGGGATGGCATGTCTCCTTGAACCTGAGCCAGAACAACCGCTACCCTACCAGCCATCCCTGTCTGTACAGGACATTGTTAAAAAAACAAGGGCACCTGGCTGGGCATGCAGGCATCCTGGCTGGCATGGCGCTGTCAGTGGTGGAGCAACAGGAGGCCATACGGCAGGCAACAGTTGGACAGCGGACCAACACCAGCTGGCACACCATGAGGAGAGGGCGGTTGACGGGCAGCAATTATGGAGCAGTGGTTAGGGCCAAGCGCGTTACTCCGTCGCTACTAAAAAGGGTCCTCAGATCACAGTCGTTGGATGGGGTGTTGTCTGTAAAGTGGGGCATAGATAACAAAGAGGAGGGCACCAGACCATCCGGTGAGGCATCAAGGAAATTGGCTTCAGGGATGGATGTGCAGGAGTCAGGGCTTTGGGTAACAGGGTCTGGTATCCTGGGTGCCTCATCGGATGGTCTAGTGGGCACCACAGCAGTGGTGGAGGTCAAGTGTCCCTATGGTGCCACGGACCTTGACATTGAAGAGGTATCCACTTACAGAGGTCGGAAAATGATCAAATGCACGTGTGCTTATCGTAGTCGTGGTTACAATCCGGTACATAACACAGAACCATCCTTGCTTCTGATCGGTTAGCTAGTTCGCTACAAAGGCAGAGGGTAATTTACACAATTCTAGTAATACAAAAAAATGCTAGGGTAGCTAGCTGGCAACAGACCAACAGAAAACACAGGTATAAATGCACAGGGGATAATGGGGAAAATGGGAAACACCTGGAGGGGGTGGAGAGAAGAACAAGACAGGTGAAACAGATCAGGGTGTGACAATCTATTCTATACCTTATGTCATGCCTTATTGGAATGGTTTTATTGATAATATCTGTTGGAAAAAAGTTTCGATGTTGCCACACACATACCTACTTATTAACAAAATTATTCATAAATATTATCCTGCCAACGACTAAATGAAGAAGTTTTTTAATAAAAAAATACATTCAAATTGTACCTTTTGTAATGACCACCCAGAAATGGTGTTGCATCTTTTTTGACATTGTATTCATGTAAGGAATCTGTGGCAAGACATCAGTAGATTTATAACTGTCGCGACTTCCTCCGAAGCTGCCTCCTCTTCTGGTTCGGGCAGGCTTCGGCGTTCTAGCCACTGCCGCTACTCATCTCATCATTCCATTTGTTTTGTCTTGTCTATTACACACACCTGGTTCATATCCCCTCATTAGTACGTGTATAAGTGTTCCCTCTGCCCCCTTGTCCTTGTGGGTGATTGTTTAGTGTGAGGAGAGTGGAGCTCGGTTGAGCGCCGTGTATTTTGTATTGCCGGGGTATATTTTCCCGGTGTGCCTGTTTAGTTCCAGTGCGCCTGTTTTGCGCACTGGACTGTTTGACGCAATTCTGCGTAACTCTGTATTCTGTGATTTATCCTCCTGCGCCTGACTCCTTCAAAGCACCCATCACAATAACCGAACACATTTATGAAGATTTTACACTATTATGGAGAGATGTACTGCTTGGATTCTTTACCTACGATAGAAATAAGTTGAAACAATTTTATGTAATTAATTTCATTATTGTTTTGGCCAAATTTCATATTTACAAATGTACATTTACAAACAAAACACTTCATTTTCTTACCTTAGAGAAGACATTGAACTATATTTTAAGACAATTAAATACTCTACCAACAAAAAAGCTGTTAGAATTCTAAACGTGTATGCCCCTTAAGGTCAATATGTAATGTGATATTGTACCCCTTAGCCCAATTGTCCTTTGTATATTCTTGATATATACTTGTGTTCCCCCGTGTACTTTTTGTATTGATTTGTTGACGCTTTTTTCCCCAAAAATATTAAATACATTTAAATGTAAAAACCGAGATGGATTAGCATCATAGCAGCAGCACTAGCTGTAACCTATCCACAATTGCAGTTTTCTGAGTTTGCCTTTAAAATAAAAGCCCGCGTAAAAACGCTATGCGTATGATACGAAATCAATATTTTTTTTGCAGCTTTGCATAGTGCATAATGTAAAAATTATGTTTTAAATATATATAACTACATTATAACTATATATTGTTCAAGGTTGCAATTCTGAAATGTATGTTTAAGAAAAGTCTTACTGTATTTTTGTTGTATTGCACAAACAAATTGCACTTTACAGCAAAAACGATCGATGTGTGTCCATAAAACCAGGGTTCAGTCTACTCACTAGAGTCTCTGGAATACAAATCAGATGAGTTTCAACAAAAAGCTACAGACAGACCCTACTGAGTATTACCTACAATACTTGTATACTTGCTGCGGCACCCAGAATAGTTTTTGCTCTATAAGCCAATATGTATTCCATATACAGTAATTCACATTGGGGGCATTTATTTGACCGCAATGTAATGCAAATGTCACTTAAATATGAACAAATATGAAGTATTTTTCATATATCATTAATAAATACAGGTTATTGACACTTTTCTACTAATACGTGGGGAACTTTATTTAGAACGTTTCCGAAATTCCGCGAACCGGAAGTACATTTTTTGTATCGCTGACGGACGCTGATGCTAGATAGCTAGCTAGCTAGCTAGCCTGAAACTTTCGGAATTATTATTTCGTAGATTTTTATTTGTAAACAATTTCAAATGGATATAGAGGGTGGTACATATGAACCAGGATTCGTTGGGATCCGATTTTGTCAAGAATGGTAAGAGCGCATGGCTATAAAGAAGTTAGAAGATGCATAACTAACGTTAGTAAGTTAGTAGCTAGATAACGTTATGCCTGCTAGCTAAAGACTAGCTAGGAGCTATGTCATCTTGTCGCTATCTTCTTCTCTGACAGGAACAGGATAGTCTACCTAGCTATAATGTTATAACAAAATTGTTCCATTCTGTTTCAGCAACAACATGTTGTATCCCAAAGAAGACAAGGAGAATCGCATCCTGCTCTATGCAGTAAGTGTCATGACTGGTGTTCATTCATACCCACTCCAAATGGCTTAGCTAGCTAGTTTCATGCACTACCGTATTGGTTTGGAAGTGTTTGGGCATTCAATTGTTTAACAAGTAAATGCATGAATGTAGTAGCCATTTTTGAATGTTGTGTGTTTCTCAACAGTGCAGAAACTGTGACTATCAACAAGAAGCAGACAACAGCTGCATCTATGTCAACAAGATCACCCACGAGGTTGAGTAAGTCAAATCAAATTGTATTTGTCACATACACGTGTTTAACAGATGTTATAGCGGGTGTAGCGAAATGCTTGTGCTTCTAGCTCCTACAGTGCAGTAATATATAACAAGTATTATCTAACAATTTCACAACATATACCCAATACACACAAAACTAGTAAGGAATGGAATTTAAGAAAATATACAGATATATTGTCAAGCAATGACAGAGCGGCATGGACTAAGATACAGTAGAATATTATAGAATAGAATGCAGTATATACATATGAGATGAGTAGTGCAAGATATGTAAACATTATTAAAGTGACTAGTGTTCCATTTCTTAAAGTGGCCAGTGATTTCAATAGGCAGCAGCAGCCTCTAATGTGCTAGTGATGGCTATTTAACAGTCTGATGGCCTTGAGATAAAAGCTGTTTTTCATTCTCTCGGTCCCAGCTTTGATGCACCTGTACTGACCTCGCCTTCTGGATGATAGCGGGGTGAACAGGCAGTGGCTCGGGTGGTTGATGTCCTTGATGATCTTTTTGGCCTTCCTGTGACATCGGGTGCTGTATGTGTCTTGGAGGGCGGGTAGTTTGCCCCCGGTAATGCGTTCGGCAGACCGCACCACCCTCTGGAGAACCCTGCGGTTGCGGGCGGTGCAGTTGCCGTACCAGGCGGTGATAAAGCCTGACAGGATGCTCTCAATTCTGCATCTGTAAAAGTTTGTGAGGGTTTTAGGTGCCAAGCCAAATTACTTCAGCCTCCTGAGGTTGAAGAGGCTCTGTTGCGCCTTCTTCACCACACTGTCTGCGTGGGTGGACCATTTCAGTTTGTCAGTGATGTGTACGCCAAGGAACTTGAAGCTTTCCACCTTTTCCACTGCGGTCCCGTCGATGTGGATAGGGGGGTGCACCCTCTGCTGTTTCCTGAAGTCCACGATCATCTCCTTTGTTTTGTTGACGTTGAGTGAGAGGTTATTTTCCTGGCACCACACTCCCAGAGCCCTCACCTCCTCCCTGCTTGCGGTCTCGTCATTGTTGGTAATCAAGCCTACTACTGTTGTGTAATCTGCAAACTTGATGATTGAGTTGGAGGCGTGCTTGGCCACGCAGTCATGGGTGAACAGGGAGTACAGGAGGGGGCTGAGCGCGCACCCTTGTGGGGCCCCAGTGTTGAGGATCAGCGAAGTGGAGATGTTGTTTCCTACCTTCACCCCCCGGGGGAGGCCCGTCAGGAAGTCCAGGACCAAGTTGCACAGGGTGGGGTTCAGACCCAGGGCCTCGAGCTTAATGATGAGCTTGGAGGGTACTATGGTGTTGAATGCTGAGCTGTAGTCAATGAACAGCATTCTTACATAGGTATTCCTCTTGTCCAGATGGGATAGGGCAGTGTGCAGTGTGATGGCGTTTGCATCGTCTGTGGATCTATTGGGGTGGTAAGCAAATTGAAGTGGGTCTAGGGTGACAGGTAAGGTAGAGGTGATATGATCCTTTACTAGTCTCTCAAAGCACTTCATGATGACAGAGGTGAGTGCTACAGGGCGATAGTCATTTAGTTCAGTTACCTTTGCTTTCTTGGGTACAGGAACAATGGTGGCCATCTTGAAGCATGTGGGAACAGTAGACTGGGAAAGGGAGAGATTGAATATGTCCATAAACACACCAGCCAGCTAGTCCTTAGCACGGGTATTTCCTGTTTGAGTTTCTGCCTATAGAAAGGGAGGAGCAAAATGGAGTCGTGGTCAGATTTGCTGAAAGGAGGGCGGGGGAGGGCCTTATAACCATCCCGGAAGTTCGAATAGCAATGGTCGAGGATTTTGGCAGCGCGAGTACAACAGTCGATATGTTGATAGAACTTCGGCAGCCTAGTCCACAAATTGCTTTGTTAAAATCCCCGGCATTTGATTGTGAGATATTGTAGGTCGGGTGAACAAAAGGACTCGAGTTCCTGTATGTTACTACAATTACACCATGAGTCGTTAATCATGAAACACACACCTCCGCCCTTCTGCTTCCCGGAGAGATATTTATTCCTGTCTGCGCGATGAACTGAGAACCCCTCTGGCTGGACCGAATTCGACAGAATATTCCAAGAGAGCCATGTTTCCGTGAAACAAAGTATGTTACAGGCCTTGATGTCTCTCTGGAAAGAAATCCTTGCCCGGAGTTCGTCGACCTTGTTAACCAGAGACTGAACATTAGCGAGTAGTATACTTGGAAGCGGTGGGTGGTGTGCGCGCCTCCTAAGTCGAACCAGCAGGCCGCTCCGAGTGCCTCTCCTACGCCGCCAATGTTTTGGGTCAGCTACTGGAATCAGTTCAGTTGCCCTGGGGAGAGCAAACAAAGGATCTGCTTCGGGAAAGTCGTATTCCTGGTCGTAATGCTGGTGAGTTACCGCCACTCTGATATCCAATAGTTTTCCCCGGCTGTATGTAATGACACAAAACACTTTCTGAGCTAATAATGTACAAAATAATACATTTAAAAAATAAAGAAATACTGCAAAGTTTCCTAAGAGCTAGTCGCCAGGCCGCCATCTTCGTCGGCGCCAGGTACAAAAAAAAAAAAAAGGTTATCCCTATTTCTTATGCTCAGACACTCAAATATACCTCTGTCATGGGCAATTAGGTCATCTCTCTCTCATCTCTCTCTCATTTGAGTCTGCTCCCTGTCTCCCTCTCCCGCTGAGTCTGACTCGCTAGTAGGCCTACTAGCAAGTGGAGGTGCCGGTGGTGATGCTGAACTGGCGGGATTAGAATCGCCATCAGGAACAGTTTGCCCCTCACTCCTCTCCTCCGGCACTGACAGTTCTCTGGCTCGTTCTGGGTTTGATTCACCATCTTTCTCTGGATCTTTGGACTTGAAAAATGTCAAACTCAATTGCCTTTTCTTATAAAAAAAATGTATTTTGCTTTCCCACAATTACAATTCTGTAAGGAGACGACTAAACTAGACTACGTGACGTGATTACATAGGGACCTATTCACTAGCTGACCACCACTACCAAGACCTGTGTCGAGATCAGTTACTTACCCCACTGGCCCTCCCCATAACCTCTATGTACAAATAAGAGAGCAGGTCTGGAATCCGTGTGGCAGGATAGGATAATTACATAGAAGGATCACCGCGCTTTTACATGATGGTCTTTCTGGGGGGCGGGAGAAATAACGAGGAGGCAACTTGATTTAATGCTGATCGCTTTTTATTAGAATATCTACAGTGCGAATAGTTAAATAATTAATAAATCATGTCGCGAGAGGTACCGGATCTGGGCAAATAAGTGCCAGAACAAACAAAGTCAAATCTGAGAGGTGCCGGATCCGGCTCAAATTAAGCACTGCTCATCTCTCTCTCACACCTCTCTGTCTCTTCTCTCTCTCTGTCTCTTCTCTCTCTCTGTCTCCTCTCTCTGTCTCTTCTGTCTCTTCTCTCTCTGTCTCTTCTCTGTCTCTTCTCTGCCTCTCTCTTCTCTGTCTATTCTCTCTGTCTCTTCTCGCTCTCATCTGTCTCACCTCTCGGTCTCACCTCTCTGTCTCTTCTCTCCTCAGTGAGCTGACTCAGATCATTGCAGATGTGTCCCAGGATCCAACGCTACCTCGGACAGAAGATCACCCCTGCCCAAAGTGAGGGTGAACAACACAAACACACTCAAACAAACCCTCTTTCTCCATCTCCCTCCTCTAGCTCTCTGAAATCAGGCAATTTCTCCACACTATTTCTATTCACAAACTATCTCTATCAATTCAAAATAATTTACAGAAACTTCCAGATAAATCTAAAATGTATCTTGTCCCTCTCTTTTCAGGTGCGGCCACAAGGAGGCAGTGTTTTTCCAGTCTCACAGTATGAAGGCTGAGGTACGTTGCAGTTTTTTCATCATAGAACATCCTCTGTCCCCAAAGAGTTGCTAAATTTAGAAATACTTGAGTGTTCTAGAGTCCACTGAGCTATATGGAGACATTGGTATGTGGTGTATATGAAAGTTACTGCTTTATTTTCTATGTAGGATGCCATGAGGCTGTACTATGTCTGCACGGCCCCTCACTGTGGACACCGCTGGACGGAGTGAGGAAGAGGAGGACTGATGTATGCATCCACAGTCTCTGCTGTTGCCCAACAGGCCACTATGTCTCACTGGGGTTCACTGTGGCTTAAATCAGAAAGACTGATGGTTATGTGGGTCTAAAATATTCTGCCAAATCGGACATTTTATTTACAGGAATACTAACTTTGTATGTTAGTTCTTCATCATCTTGTTGGAGTGTACGTAGAGGCACTGCTAAGATTTGTGTGGACCATTTAAATCCCATTTATTATCTTGTGGAGGAACACCTGTTGGGACATAATTGTGTTAATGTATTGTCTCTAGTACTTTTTACAGGTATTTGTATTGTTAGTTTTTTTTAGAACTCAGAAATTAAAAAAAGTCAAACTTTTGTTGTGAAATGCTTCTGTTTTCTTTCAAAAAAACTTGATTGAAAGACTTCTCTAAAACTTTGCATGCCACTGTTGTATAGTTGAAATATTTCCTGATTTTCCATGGTTACACTATCGTGTGACCCGATCTCTGTTGCAATACTTGCCACCCCAAAAAAAGAGCTGAAATATATATTTTATAGTTGGACATATGAAAATGTTCCTATTTAGTGGTGTAGCTTTGACTTCACTTTTTTTTTTTTTTATCTAGGCCTATCTGTTTGGCCACTGCAGTGTATTTCCCAATGTGTGTATTTTTTGCAATGAGTTTTAGACCCACTGAGGGTTTTATAGTGTCATTGAGAAAAGCACGTAGAACATGTAATAACCCGCTGGAGAAACAGTCCACACCCCCTTTAACAATATGTTGTTAACAAGTCACTTATTCTGAGGAACATCAAGGAAACTGCCTCTAGCGACCAAATCAAAAGCAAGTCTGGATAGTATAATAAATGGACGTAAGAGTCACTGGTAAGGAATTACCTACAGTATATGAGCTCTATCGGAAGGTAATGATTAAGATATCTCAAAATGCTTTGAGGTCTAGGTATGAAACTTTGTTATGAATGGGTAAATGAAAGTGAATTGTTAGGTCTACAGTTTGGATATGGTACACCACAGATATACTGTGGTTGGTTACCCATATGCATGCATTTCAGTAGAGGTGGTTACTCGGGGACAGTGGGGAGCAGCAGCCCCTCGATGCCAGGAGACCCTCAAGTGTCCTGCTCAAAGAGTTGTCATACACCACACGGCACTTTTGCACTGCGGGGGCATCCGAGAATGCATGGACCAGCTCATCCACATACAGACAATGCATATGCAGCATAGGAACTTTGATGACATTGGATACAAGTGAGTGACCTCTCTCCTTTCCTGGTGTTTTCCATCATTCATTGTGTCAGGATAATAGTATATGCAAATAACTGTTTTCTTGCATTTGCAGCTTCCTTATTGGGGGAGATGGCACCGTGTATGAGGGCCGTGGCTGGGGTGTTGTGGGCGCACATACCAAGGGCAACAACCACAACTCTTTGGGCATTGCCTTCATGGGCAACTTCAACAGTAAGAAACACAATATTGGACTTTCCATCCATACAGTGTGTAAGGCATTGGTACCAATGGGTTCTACTTCTCTGTTTCAGATGAGAGCCCCAGTCCAGCAGCCCTGTCATCTGTTAAACAGCTCCTGCAGTTTGGGGTTTCCCAGGGGCATTTGTACCCTGGATTTACCCTGCTTGGGCACAGAGACTTGAGGGACACCGAATGTCCTGGGGAGAGACTATATGCTGCACTAAAACATCTAAAATTTCCCTGAACATGACCTCGTCCACAGGCTCAATTGCTACTGGTTCGAAAGAGAGAGAGTTGGCTGGTGGAAGAGATCACCCAGAACAGCACACTGAACATTTTGGGACTTCCTTGTGTGTTTTTAAACCACTAGATGGGGCATGGACGCTTTCATCGTAGCCATGGCCTATGCAGGGTTTCCCAAACTCGGTCCTGGGCCCCCCGGTGCACGTTTAGTTTTTTGCCCTAGCACTACACAGCTGATTCAAATAACGAATTCATCAGCAAAAAACAAAACGTGCACGCAGGGGGGGCCCCTGGACCGACTTTGAGAAACCCTGGCCTATAGTGCTTGTTGAGTTCTCATGTTAGTGGATCATTAGACCACTTTATATATTTGTGTTTCACAGTTTTGTAGCGAGGACATACTGTATGTAGGCAATGTACAGCATTTCAGATTGAAGATTTGGCAATTGATGTGAAAGCAGCTTCAGAAATTATATGTTGTAAATTGCCACCCATTCACAGCGTAATTATAGAGGTCAAATATTAGGGTTGTAAAATGCATCTGTTTAGTAGATTAGACTAAATGTTATTATTTATTTTGGTATTCACATAAAATTGTCCACATACCATTATATTCATTTTTCTATGAGTGTACTGCTATGAAGTTTTACAGGAAATATGAACTGAGAAAGGTGTAAGGGTAACTCACATTAAGAGATTAAATACAAAAAAAAATATGCTGCTGAATGAACACAAACTATTGACAGAAAACTGGATGGGATTTCAGTTTTGGGTGGGCAAAATATTATCTTGTCCTGACTTGCTGTGTTGTCCTGGATGAGATTAAGCTTTTGGGATTAATTGAAATGGCTCCTCAAATCGCACATCATTTGTCAAAGGGAGAAAAACTTGTAGGCCTACCTGTAAATGTTTCAACATTGTAAGCAATGTTTAAAGGCGCAACATTCCCAACAAGTGTGCACTTGTATTGCATAATGTAGGATTAAGGGGGACCCATATCAAATTGAGAAAAGAGAGGAAAATGTGAAACATAAATGCTGCTTCATACTGTGCACCTTGATGTTACAACACATCTTACCTGTCAACTGTTGTGCAGGAAGCCGCATGCCCTCCAGGCAGACGTCTAGAAGACACAAGCAGCCCTGCACCTATGTCTCTTAAATTCTCAGTTTGTTTACTTACATTACGAGTTTACCTCCTCCTGAATTACTTACACACCTTCACCTAATTCGTCTTTGATTGGCTGTTTGCCAGGTTATTGTGTAAACAGACGGAAAGGAGTGGAGAGAGGCAGTCCCAGAGGGCGAGGCGCAGGTGAGAGGTTTGAGTTTCACGCTCCTCGGATGTGTTATAATTGAACCTGGGAGTTCATCGATCAGTCAGTGAAATTGGCAGCGCACTAAACTAATCGCAAAGTTTGTAGTATATGGCTTGTGTGACTTTTGCGTGTTTGCATCAGGATTGTTGAGCAGGGGCGCATTTTGTCTTTGGCACCCCAATACGTTGTGTGTCTTATTTCGTGGATTTAGACATTCCTTCTCTTCAGACTGCCAGGCGCCGTGGGTAGTGGGTGATGTTGAATATGGAGGATTTGAAAGATCCTGTCAGATTTTTCCACAAGTCTTCATTCAGCATCAGCAGCCTGCTGTTTCGACGAGAGGGAGTGATGAGTGAAGAGGGCACCGCGCTGGATGGGACCATTTCCCGATGCTCCAAGCCCCTTTCCAGAAAACACATTTATTCGGGGCCATCTGCTAGGCCTAAAGAAGTTTGTGCTCAAGATGGAAAATATGATTTACATAGAGACATAAACTGTGATAATAAAGAATACTCAGTCCAAGAGGACAAACGAGTCTCCAGAAATGGCAAAAGGGAAGACGGAGAAGATACCGAGAGAGTCGGAGAGGTGAAGACATATGGAGGAGTAGAGGGGAAAGCCAAACCGGAGAAACCTCCTTTCAGCTATAACGCACTGATCATGATGGCTATTCGCCAGAGCCCGGAGCGAAGGCTTACCCTCAACGGCATTTACGAGTTCATCATGGGCAACTTCCCTTACTATCGAGAAAACAGACAAGGATGGCAGAATTCAATCCGACATAACCTAAGTTTGAACAAGTGCTTTGTCAAAGTACCTCGCCATTATGATGACCCAGGCAAAGGCAACTACTGGATGCTTGACCCTTCAAGCGAGGACATGTTCATAGGTGGCACAACTGGTAAACTCCGGCGCCGTTCCACGGCGGGCACCCGGGCAAAGCTGGCAATAAAACGGGATGCCCGTTTTACCTCCACCACTGCCGCCAGGCTGGCGTTCACTGGGTCATTTTATTGGCCGGTGCCACCGTTTCTAAATGTTCAACATCCTGCGCACTCACACCTGGGCACAGGGTCATATGTAGGGCCCCATCACTCCAACTATGCCACCTCGATCCTTTCTCAACGGTCACACCACATGAGTGCCATAAATGCTGGGGCAGACCGACTCTTCCAAACAAACCAAGAGTCGTCTTATTTTGGCATGGGTGCAGGCGCGCAGTACTGTCGCCATCACCAAATGAGCGCAGCCACAACATTCGCCTCTTCGTCGTTGCCATGCACTTTGTCTCTCCCTAACCCTTGTTGCTTTAACCTGCTCTCCGGACAAGCGAGTTCTTTTTACTCTCATCACCAGGTACCCCACCCGGCGACGTTCAATGCATGGTGCCAGGAGGAGTACCCCTCATCCAAGGCATCTCCAGCCGGACACATTTACTCCGGAAAGAATGGACCATCGGATTGTCTTGGGGAGTTTGTGCACGGAGTTCCCTAATTATTTTCCTCCAAGCAGCCCCACGAGCTCCCTCAACACCAATCTTTCTTGGGATGCAGGGAAATGACCACATTTAATTCTCTATTTAAATTAAAAGCGTCTGTTTCTCTTTATGGATTGTGTCTTTCTAATATCTACCAATGCTGCGAAATTGATTCAAATAATTGTGAGTTTGTTATTTCCCAAATAGGCCTATCTGTCTTTGAAAAAATAAAAATAAATAATCATCCGTTTTTAAATAATCGCCAATCACGGGTGAATGTGCAATTTCCATCGAAACGTATCACTAAAAACGCCACTCACCATTTCACATTTTTTCAGTGCAATAACCTATAATAAAGTTGTATTCTTTCACGAATAGTTAATGGTCAATATTTGTGGTGTACTCAGTAATTTAAAAAAGTGTATTTTCCTTTAATAACATTTCGTTAATATTTTATTTGGTAGTTTAGTAGGCTACTAACTATACATCACAAGATGAGAGATGCAGTAAGATAGTTTCATAAAGATTAATGATGTCTTAAAAAATAACAAACTATTTGGTATCTGTTAAGCTAATTAACAGGGTCGAGGTTGTTATTGCGAGATTTTGCATCACGGTTTAGGCTACTTTTACAAACAGGCTAAAGCTAAACCATCACTCTCTGACGTCTGTATTCGTTTTTTCGTTCTTGTTGTTATAACTCCGTTTTGCAATTGTTAGGGCAAATTCTTAGGGATGTTGGCTATATGGAACATCATTAAAAATATATAAAATAATGAAAATATCTTGTCCAACAGTGTTCCATGGGTGCTCTCCAGATATATTTAGAAAAGTGGTGAGATTGTCCA